ATATTTAATATAAATCCAATCTCTTCTTCTTCTTCTTAATCCCCACAAGTTGTGCATGCGCAATCTTTCGAGCGCCCGGGAAAGTACCGCGCCGCGGGTCCCGAGGACGCGTGGCGGAGGGGGTGGGGTGGCGGAGAAAGGAAAAAGAGAGGCTCAACTCTCGTTTCATTCGTTCCGCTGTCTTGGGGGGGGCGGAGCCTAAGAATGGCGGTCGTGGGAACGGGAGATCCGCTATAAACCGTGTCCCTCAGTTCTTTCTTAACACCCTCCCCCCCATTCATTTTTCCCGTTGGCATGTCGGGCGCGCCCTTTCCCAAGTTGCTCGTGCGCCTGCGTGGCCGTCGACTCACGGCCGCTCTGTGCCTCCCTCTCTCTCGTCCTCGCCCTCCTGAGCTGCCGCCTCCTTTCCAGTCCTCCTCACCGCTAGGGAGGAACAGGCAGGCGGGCCCGCTGAGCAGCAGCAGCAGCAGCAGCAACAACCGCACAACAGCCCTGAGGAGGGAGTGAGGCGCTGCTGGCAAGAAGCGGGGCTGGTGGTGGTAGTGGGGAGCCGACGCGGGCTTCCCTCCGAGGCTTGCTCCTCCGCCGGGGGGCGTTGTCTCATGAGGCAAGGTAGCCCCGTTAACAGGGGGATGCTATGCTGGGAAGGGGAGGGGGGAGAAGGTACGTGTAAAAGGAAAGAGAAAAAGGGCGATGGGTGGGACGTTCGCCTGCTCTGGGCTTAAAGTGACTTGCACATATTTTTGGGGGGTGGGGGTGGGTCTGTTTTAGCTCACCACTTCTGCCTCGTAACTGACTGGAGTGAAATTGCTTGGGCATGCTATGGACACCTAGTGTCTACGGGGTGCGGGAGCAACAACAACAACAACTTTTGACTTAGTCAGACAAGAGCCCAGTGTCATTTTAAAGACTCACCAGATCTATTCTAGCACAAGCTTCCTTGAGTCAGAGCTCACTTTGTCAGATGCATTTGGATTTGACATAATCCACCTCCCCCCCCCCCCGCTAGTGGGATTGGAGCCACGATTTGCCGTGATTCAAGGGGGGCGGGGCCCAAGGATTTAAGTGTTTTGGTATATTATTGTGATTTCTTGCTCTGTATCTTTTCAAAGTGTTAAAGAGAGCACGGGAACGCTAATGTTTGCTGCTGCTGCTTCTTCTTTTTTTTTTTTTGGCCAGGCTTGGATTTGAGCCTGGCAGCTGGTGATGTGCGCTTGGCATGCAGTCTGTTTGGCTGCAGTCCCAACTTGCATTTGGGAGTATGTTCTTAGGGGAAGAGAGAGAGAGAGCTGGTATGGAGATAAACCTTGCTGGATGCATAGGCACGGGAAAAGGGAACTTGGTGGCAAGGCTTGCTTTTCTTGTGAATGTTGTTAAGAGGTGCTTTGCTGTTCTATAATAGAGCATCTTGTAGTAAAGCATGGAAGTAAACCTGTGAATTGGTACCTCCCATCTTCTGCTTTGAGGACACCCCCCTCCCCCAGTACTGGTAAGAAGTATGAGTTACTTTCACTCCTCCTTCTAGTGGTTTAATGACTGATGTTTAGTGGAAAACCCTGCTGATGAATAGTTGCTATTTTTGTTGAGTGTACCCTGTGTAGGTAGAGAAGTCCTGTAAATTAACTGAGGACCAACAAAATGTACAAGTTTAGTCAAGTTGCTGTTTAGTGAGCTTTTAAGTGCACTTAAGTCTTAAAAATGACAACAAAGAGAGCAAAATACTTGTCTTTGTATACTTTACTGGCCACTGTTTCAAGAACCGCCTGCTTTTTGTGGTAGCTAAAAGCATACGAGAATAACTTCTAAGTGAATTGATGGAGAATGCCTTTTAAACCGAGCAGACAAATTGCTGTGCGGGTCTGTTCCACCCCCGACTTCTGCAGCACACTTTCTGTTTTGTTGAAGTGATGTCAGAGTCTGGTGTTTTTTTGAAGTGCATTTCTAATCTTCTCAGAGAAGTTCCCATCAAGCATATAATAGGCTTGAAGCTGGCATGGCCAGGAAAAACCTTGATTCTGCAGAACAAAGTTCAAGGCACCTTTTAAGACCAACAAAATTTCAGAAGAACTGTGTTTGCACATGAAAGCTTACACCTGGAATAAAATTTTATTGGCCTTAAAGGTGCCACTGGACGCAAACTTTGTTCTGCTGCTTCAGACCAGCTTCAGACCAACATAGCTATCCATCTGAATCTACCTGGATTCTGCAGAAAGACATATTTGGACTGTTTCTGAGATTAAAACCTCAGTTCTGTGTGCATGTACGAGGGAGTAGTCCTACTAACCTTGCTAGAAGTAAACAGGTTGATTGTTATATGGCTAATCTATGTATGTCATCTTATGATTAGGAGGATCTATATGTCTAGTTTCCTTACTGTGTCATTCATAGGAATGCCCTGGAAATGGTTTGAAAAGGTGTTAAGCAGTGTGAGTAACCAAGTGTAAATTGTTGTAACAGTGTGGTTAATTGATTTTTCCCCACACTTTATTTTGTGTAGGTGTTTAATTAGTCATACAGCACATGCTGCAAAGTAGCAGGTTCAGTTTTGGATAGCAAGACTGAAGAAGACACCTGACAGTAGCTATTAAGGGTTTCTGGCAGAGTAGTCCTAGGATGGATTGGCCAACGGCCTGCATTGGTGCAGAGGAGCTCCATGGATTATGCGATGATATTTCTGCTGAGAACAATGTTCCAGTTGATCATTGTACTGCAGTTTAAAGGTCTTTCTGTATTATATCAATCACACACAGAAACATTTATTAAAAGGGGATTTAAAAATACAGAGTGGATTCTTATTTACCTATGTACTTCTTGTCTTTGCATCCTGTTTCTTAACCAGAATGGCACACAGCATTAGTAAGATGCAACTATGACTTTATCTTAAAAAAACACCCCACAAACACCTTTCAATATAAACATTTAAACTGCAAAATAAAGGGGTCAATGGGGAGAGTGGAGAAGAGATTACAAAATGAAATGTTGTCATACTGAATTCAGGAACACAATACTCCCCACAACTCCCAGTTTATTTACTTGTCAGACACTCCACCACCACCACAGAGAGATCATGTAGTTCTTCTGAACATGGGGAAAGTATAGGGGATGGGCCACTCTTAGCTGATCCAGGAGCAGGCACATGCCCTCTTTCCTCCCTCCGGCGGTTCTCTGTTACATGACTGCTGGTATGGGAGAGAGATCAGGTATGTCATGGTGTCATGAATGGCAGGTATGTCATGGTGTCTTTGATAATATCTAGGTTAGTGAAAAGCTATAGCAATTTTCAGTAGTGATCTTTAAAGCCCAAAGGTGTTTAGGGATTGGTATTGGAATCGCCTCTGTGAATCTGCCCCATCCATATATATCAGCAGAGACTCCAGTCTGTGTGTTCCTCTGCGTTCAGAAGTTCCCCATTAGAGACAGTCCGCTGAGATTGTGCCCTGCTTATGGAACTTCCTCCAGGATGCTTACATCTTTGTCATTATTTATTTATTTAGAAGTTTAGGCTCCAGACTGTCCTGCTTTCCAGAGTCTGGATACTAAAGGTTTTGTGTGTGTTTTTTTCTTATGTTTCTGGTGCTGCAGTTTTTATGGGCTGGAGTCTTTGTTGATGCCACTATTGTTTGTTTGTTTTTTTAAATACTGGGCTGGATTTTATTAATCTATCCTGCTAGCAGCAGATCCCTTCTCTGGCAGAAGAAGCCTGCTGCTATGGAGAAAAACCTGTGGCATTAATGAAATAGATTAATGGGATCCAAGCTATTGTTTTAGCTTCAGAATATAAAGACAATCTTGACTGCCCCTTGGAGTAAAAAGGTGAAAATTTTTAATTAAAAAGGAGGTAGTATGCTGTATGACCAAGTGTAAACTGCAAACTCTATGCTAATCTTTCTAATCTATTTGCGGCTTGACTTTCAGAATAATTTGTGTGATGTGCAGATGTGGTTTTACACATTTTTGTTCTCCCCCATGTTTCCTGTATGACATTGTTTTTTTGTTTAGTTACAGGAGCTACATGTAAATTCTGTTGCCCTCTTAAAACCATCTTCTGAACATTCCACCACTCTGCTTGTTTCTAATGACCCAATGTTCTGTGGGAACTCCTTTCCTCCATATAAAGTCTAACAGGCAGATACAAATTAGTTTCATTGGGGAAAATGAAAAAATCCCAGTTTATTTGAATCTGGGTGTCTTTTTCAGTTAAACAATACTGATTTCTTGTTCAGTTTCACGATGTTGCCATGAACCTGACTTTTACAGCAGCATTCTTTCACAGCTGATGAGATCATAGTATAGTTAAAGACTTTCTTGTTTTATATATAAATCTCTGTATTGTTTTGAAAACTCTTAATACCCTAAAAGTATTCCTAGTAAAATGCTGCCTGGCCGTTTGATTTGTTTTACAGAATAAATCCTTGCAAGAAATACCACACAATCCTTCTTGTTCAGCTCAAATGGATCTGAATGATTAATTTAGTGTATCCTACCAGCAGGGCAGATCCATCCTATGGTTCTCCTGTGCTGGTGTTAATATTGGTGTTATGTGTGTACTCCTAGGATACTACCCTAAGGTACAGATAATTCAGTAACTCTGACATGCACTCCGCCCCTGCTGACAGCAATATGCTGACACCTAGGGACACTTAGCAGTCTCAGTGTGGTATGCTGCCACTGCTTATTCCGCAGCTATGCTTGGAAGGAGTCAACCCACACATGTCAAATGCAGGAGGCCTCCGTGATGTTACCTCACCACTCAGTCCTCTAGACACAAACTTATAACGCTCTCACCAGTTTGAATCACTGTGTCGCAGCCATTGCACACATGATAACATCCTGGCAGATGGTGAACAATTTGTCTGCAATCAGTTAGGGACGAAAAAAGAGTTTTTCTTCTAGGAAAGATGACACGAGGTCTCCCCCCTCCCTCCAGTCGAACTCTTTCAAAAAAATTAGCTACTTCAAGGCTTGTAGCCACAGAGAAATGCCAGGGCTCCTCTTGGCCAACAAAGGCTGCCTGTAAAAGCACCTTCCCCATTAGGAGCAGTTATTCAAATTTCTCAGACTACAGATCTGAAGATAGGGAATCCCCCCTTAGGCTCTGAGGATTCTGATGCAGATCTGGAGAAGGATGAAGGCCAGTTGTCTGAGGATGAAGTCTCAACAGAGCAAGCCAACCCACTGCCTTTTTTCCTCAGGAGGAACTTCCCACTCTCTTAAATAAAGCATTAAAAATCCTACAGCTTTCTGCCTCTAAGGTAGAAGTCCCCAAGGAGGAACAGGATGATGATGATAAAGGGCCCCCTGAAGTTTTCTCTAGGGTTAGAGCTGGGTTCACCTTTTCCCTTCCCTTAAAAAAAACTGACATAAAAGAGGAATGGTCAGATCCTACCAATAACTGCTTATATTCTAGACAGGTGAAAAGAATGTATTATTTTCCTCCCAAGGCAACCTGTTTACAGAAAGTTCCAGTGGCTAGCTTAGCATCAGGGGTGGCTCTTCCAAAAGAGGGAAAGGGCACCCTTAAAGACCCCAATGATAAAAAAGTGACTCAGCTCTTCACAGAGTCCATGAGGCCATTGCCTTCTCCATTAAAGCGTCTGCTGCCACTTCTCTGA